GTTCCTAAAGTACTTCTCACTTGAGGTATGTGGTGGTTTGTGATTGTAAACCAACGAGAGAAAGACCTACTGTGTGTGTAAGTCTTTAGTTGTCATAAATGGTGTTCTTTCGTTGAGATGCTATTGTTTTCTTGAGTAGAGAAACATGTAGCAATGGTGGTTTTGACCAGAGAGAGATAGAGAAAGAGAGAGAGGGAGCCATCGATTGATGAGCGGCTGGATTAGGGTTTCAAATTGATGACCTGCTGAATAAGAGGCACATGGGTAGGTTCGGAAAATCACTTAAGTATTTTAGGCGGGATAAATTGTTGGGGGCGGACTAATACAATGCCACGTGGCAAAATGGCTCTTATTTATTAGAATAAGGGATTTGTTTCAAACTATATCAAGAGATATAAGGACATGAGAGTTCCAACTAAGCATTATCAATGTCATATTAGATGTAGCATGTCACCACTAAAGTTAATTGTGACGACACTTGGTATCTTTATTGGCAACATACATCGCCCATTATTCCTTTAAATCTTGTAGTGAAAGCAAATATGTTTTTTAAATCTTAAACATTAAACCGTACACTCATACAAAATAATATAATGAAATTTATTAAGAAGTCCTAAAATAGAGAACATAATAGTTTGACTTACCAATGTAAAAGAATTTATTTATGTGATGATGACTTGAAATGGAACGAACTTTCAATTATGTTCACATTAAGTCATTGAACTTTTTCGTGCTTGATTTATCCCTGAATTATTTGAAATTGTTTACATTTTATCTTGTAACCGGTCATAAGGGTAAAATGTGAACAATTTCAAATAATTCAGGAGGAAGTAAATCACGCACGAAAAAATGTTCAATAACTATGTGAGCAAAATTGAAATTTCGTTACCCTTTTAAGTCATTCTCACATAGAAGATATGGCGTCTATGGTTTTTTGAGACAAAATTGGGTTTGATTATAATAATAAGTAGATGTGCACAAATAGACCTTTTATATAAGAAAAACTGATATCAAAACCGTTGCACGTCCTATCGGACTATCCCAAACCATAAAAGAAACTTCTTTAATTTAATTCAAAGCATCTTTATTATGTGTAAATATTTTTATACTTTACATCCTTATTTTGGGCCTATACCTCTTACCTTGTTAATGGATTTTTTTTGAAATATAATAAAATAAAAATAAATGTACTGAATTCAAATAAATAAATAAAAATAATAAATTAAAAATTATCAAACCATTAATAATAATAAGTAATAATAGTAAAATATTTGATAGTTTTGTGAATATTATAC